GGAGCAGTAGCCTAAATATGCTTCCTGAGGTTACCTTTAATGTTTTTGCTTACCCTGTGACACTCAAATCCAAGTTGCAAGCAGAATTAGCTGCCTTATTCTGTCAAGAAATTAAGAAAATAAAAAGTTCGAATGACATTTAAAGTTGTTCGTTGGAGCAAAATGATTAGCTGTAAGAGGACAAGTTTTGGAACGCTTTTATTTATGATTAATTAATTTTCCCATAACAATTCAGAGAAGATTCTTGCATTAGTAAGATTGCTCTACCGCCTTCCCTTTTCTCTACTCAACCTGGGAGCTTTAACTACCAAGACATGCCAAGCTATGAACATAGAAAGGAACCTTACACAGTTTTTTATTGGCTCCCTGGTACCAGATTATGACTCAGAGAATTAACATTTTAAATCCTCCACCTTTGATGGAACTCTGTCATTCAGCCTTTGTTTCCAGTAGAAGAGATGACGTATCCAAGTACCCTGGGACCCTTAAAGATAGGGTATACAGTTTTCCAGGCATGCCTCACTTAAAGAAGACACTAAGACAGACAAAGCACATGCTGGAGAGATTAAATAACCCTTATGTCATAGGAATTCCAAGACTGAACTGAAGAGTATAGTTGGACAGAGGGGCGTCCCTCTTTGATATGTATGTTTTCTTTGCACTCTAACCAAAAAGAGGTGAAAGACACTGGATGAATGGGCTGTTTAATTTTATTCCTAGCTTTTTGGTGAATTTGCTCCTCCTCGAGGGACAACGAGGTGAGGAGCTCGGTCATCCGGGAGGGACTCAGAGTAGAGCCGCTGCTCCTCCATGTCGAGAGGAGCCAGTTGAGGTGGCTCGGGTATCTGGTAAGGATGCCTCCTGGACGCCTCCCTGGTGGGGTGTTCCGGGCACGTCCCACCAGGAGGAGGCCCCGGGGAAGACCCAGGACACGCTGGAGGGACTATGTCTCTCAGCTGGCCTGGGAACGCCTTGGGGTTCCCCCGGAGGAGCTGGAAGAAGTGGCTGGGGAGAGGGGAGTCTGGACCTCCCTTCTGAAGCTGCTGCCCCCACGACCCAACCCCAGATAAGCAGAAGAAAATGGATGGATGGATGGATGGATGGATGGATGGATGGATGGATGGATGGATGGATGGATGGATGGATGGATGGAAGCCTTTAAATTCAGGACGTTCAGGTCATCTGTAGAACTACTTCTGTCGTCATGACATTATAGTATCAACTAGCAGCAACTGCATGATTTTAAAGTGTTTTACTGTTATATATTATGTTAGGACTTTATTTACATATGGTTGAAGGCAAAAAAATACATAAATAATGTTTCTTTCCTAGTTTTGCTTTCCATGTAAAAGAATCCATCATACAGAACAATCTTTTACCTCCAGCTACTAATCCATCATAGCTGTTTAAAAGATAACTTGGCAGCAAAAATATTTTCTGGGTTAACATTACAATTTATTGAGTTAATGTTATTATTGTTATTTATTGTGTATTATGCCTTTTTAATCTCAGGAAAAAGCATCTTTGATTGACATATGGATCTCACAGGGGTGACACAATTACTGCACCATAAAACATCCCTACAGATTGGCACTTGAAGCTTCTAGGGCCCTTGAGCTACCTCTCATTTATTACAGACAACAATTCAAACCATCTGAAGAAGTCTGCGCTGAGACTTTCACCTGACCTTTGACCAGTTAAGTTCAGACAGTTAAGTATTTGCCTGAGAGAGCCATCTGCCTTTTGCTAGATCTCATCTACATTCCTTCCACTGCACTCTGCTTCCTCTGGCTGACCACTTCTGCATATCACTCTTTATTTTGATGTGACCATAAGTACACAATGGAAATTGAGTTGTGTAACGGTTCAGAGTTGCACTTGTGCTGTCATGTACACAGGGAAGTACACAAGTGAAGCAGGGCTTTGGTTTGATTCACATTTGATGGTACTATGAAAGTGTCAGCTGTAAATTTTTATATCTTCAGCGGTCATTGGGCGAGAGGCGAGGTTCACCCTGAACAGGTCGTCAATCCATCATAGAGCAACACAGAGACACACAGGACAAACAACCATGCACACACACTCTATAACTAAGGACAATTAGAGAGATCAATTGATCTGATAGTCATGCTTTTAGACTGTAGTACCCAGAGAGAACCCACATCTCCACAGGGAGAACATGCAAACTCCATTCAGAAAAACCCCAGACCACCAGGATTCAGATCCAGAGTCTTGCTGCAAAGCAACAGCTGCTTATGAAGGCTAACATTTAGAGGTAATAGATATAATATAAATCATATTTAACATTAAATTTTCCACTTTAACCTTAGCTCACAAAACAACCTTCCAACTACAAGCAAAAATGCAAAACAAAACATTGCAAACAAAAGAAAGAAAAACATGTGCTAATCAAACTGTCTGCAACATTTGCCTTTAATGGCATGACTATCTGTTAAAAAAAAAAGATACTATAAAGCTATGAAAAAAAATCTAGTTTGTAATGAAGACGGTTTTAGCTAAAGTAGGGACCTCTACCAACTTCTGAAATTGATATAAGTTCCATCCAGACCAAATAAACCACTTTGAAATGATATAATAAAGAGTTAAATTTAAAAATAGCTGCTTTTCTTCAACATGGTACAAGTTAAACATTTTATTTTTGTTTTGTTTACATTTCAATATGTTACATTACTACATTATATTGCAATATGACAAGAATAATTTCTTTGAGTGTATTCGTTCATTAATGGTAGTTTAACAGTGTGATTAACTTACACTTTTCTCACTTCTGTTTCCTTATTTTTGATTCATATCATATGGTTGGATTTTGTTGAAATGCACATTCCTAACTGTAATATATATTATATTATAGGACTGAAAATGTTTATACATTTTAAATCATGTGAAATTCAGGCCTGACAGACTGAACTGCCCTCTAACTACCACCAGAAATGCAAAACATTACACTAATCTGCTCATCTCTATATGTCAGCAAAAAAGAAACCAATGCGTTTAACAGCATCATTAACAGTTGTTGCAACAGTTAAAATATGTTTGGCTTATACAACTGAAATGTTGAAGCTTTAACCTTTGTTCAAGAATAGTGTTTTTCAGTGTAAGGCTTAGATTGAGCAAAACTCAAAGAAAAAGTTAACTGTAAGCTCAAATAAAAGAGCCCTTTGTCTTTAGTTCATAGACGTGCAGCCGTGGCACAATTTATAATGACTTAAAATAAAATGACAATTATTTAAATGGATAATCTTACTGCTCCTGGCGAGACACAGCAAATTATTTCCCAGACAGCTGTTTGCGTTTAATGTGGGAAACAGGAAACTGTTGTCTGAGTCCCAAAATGTCAGGAACCAAAAGACATTTTGTGCCCTTTTCTGTTTCACAGGGAGAAAAAATCAGGTGCTTTTCTGTTCTGTCTTTCAACAACTCTCCCTCTATCCTATCGGCCCCTGCTCCACCGAACATGCTTACAACAAAGCAGAACTGCCCTTTAAGGGGGCAAACTGTTCAAAACACACAGAAAAAAGGGCACTAGGAATAGCATGACCATTAATATCAGCAAAACATTCAACCTAACTTTAGTGCAGAACAACAGTGTCTCAAATCAGATATAAGCTCCGACCTCTGAAAGACAATCGTGTTTTTGACACTACAGTAAATTCCTGCTGCAGCTGTGAGCTGAATATCTGCTCAGGCAGGATGTTCAAACAACAACAGACCCTCCCCTCTTCTCCTGTACCCTCCCTGAACAGGACACGAGTGGACATCCTGTCAGCAGAGCTCCTTTCCTCTGTTAGCTATTATTAGCAGGAATCCAGCCTCAGCTTATCCCACAGGGCCTTAGCGGGCTATGCAATCCCATCTCTGAAATTATTGAAATGTCTAATCCTAATTGATTAAAAATAAGTCTGCCTTTGAGTCACCAAAATCAAAAAGTCATGTTCACATGTCCAGCCAGTAAACACAAACTCCGGACAAGGTGTGTGTTTTTGGTGTATTAAGCCATAAGGACATTCCAACCCTCTCCTGATCCTTGTTCATCTGAAATCAAGAGATTAACTCTTAATCAGACACACACAATCATACACGAAGCTTTACAGAAGTACTCATGAACTTTTCTCTCTCTTTTTTTTTTTGTCCCATTAAATAAACAAGCTATAATGTATTTTATTTGGTTTTAATGTGATAGACCAAGACAAAGTGGCGCATCACTATCAGGTGGGGGAAAAAGTGGGAGAATCTGTTTGTACGTGACATCAGCTACTTATCAGGCACTATAAATCTGATCTTTACAGAAGAGTGGCAAGAAGAAACACATTGTTGATATCCCACGTTAAAAGTGTCAAATTACATGAAAGGGACACAACAGTGATGACAGTAACACGTTGCTCTAATATGACCACTTTCTACTTAATGGGTTATTATTTCCAAACCAATAATCAGATTAAAATAATTCATCCAAGTCATTGTGCGTTATAATTTTTGACTTTGTAAAAAATTATATTTGCTTTCTTCTTGTGTCACGGTGAGTGGCGTTACATAGGTGACACGTCATGTTTTCAGCATGATGACAATTCATGTTAACTGGGGGTAATTTTGTCATATTTACTGCAGAGTCTGTTCCATGGATGGATGGAAAGCAGATTGGAAGGCAACTTTACATAAAAAGCCAAAGGCACATAGACATGCAAATTTGAGGGAGATGGTATCAAATCCGCAACAAAGTGAAAAAGTTCAGGGAATATGGGTAATTTTATGCGAAGTGCTGCATCTTGCCAAGTATTCATTTTGTGGGGGGGAGAAAAAAACTACCTTGTGTCCACTGGCAGACAGTGGGACAGTTGGTCCCACTGTCTGCCAGCACCGAGTTGGGAAAACTCAGAGAAATGTTTCACTAGAAAGAAAAGGGGGAAAAAAACTGATAAGATTTCCAAATGCAGACACACCCACGGCCACAGGGGCTCAATTTTTTTGACATCATATCTTACCATAGGGCGTTGGAGGAGACAATGGGAATGCCGGAGTCGCTGGGATGAAGTCAGAGTTGTCCACTTGTCCGCGGTAATCCACACTGTTAGTTTTGTAGAGATGACCATGCTTTAAAAAGACCAGCAAGGAGAACGAGGTGAGGAGAAAACAAAGAATGAGCATCGGAAATGTTTTTTATGAAGTGCTAAGAGGTGACAACCTCCCCCCTCACACACATAAACACACAGCAGCAGACATCAGTCTTGTGATCTGTGTGTGGCTGCAATGTGTGTTTTGGTGTAAACACTCAGGCCATTCATGCAACACGGGCAAAAGGCTGGGTGAAAGAAAAGAAAAGTCCAGATTTTCCAAAACAAAAAAGCCAAACATACAGTGACACCTAAATGTTTTGGAAGTGCATAAATGATTTGTCTCTTTAGGTTTCTATGGGGACTTTTAAGATAGTTTTAAGACTGCTCTCCAATGAATCTGCTTCACATTTATTCAAGCTCTTAATAACTTAAAAACGTTTTTAACAAAAACAAATTTTCTACTGTATTTTCCCAAAATGATCAACTAACTTTATTTCTGAAGTTTTGCTGGTTTATCAAGGTGGAAAAAATCAAGACATCCCTGAGAGTCCAGCAAGCTGTATAACTGTCTCCTCCTTCAAAAACAGTAAAACTAAGATCAGATTGTCACAAGTGCAGAGTTTGCTCATCACTGGCATCAGGTGGGTGTGAGAGCAAATGTGTTCACAATGAAGTACAGACCATTGGACACGAAGGAAAGTAACAGAGTCAGTCTAGTCCGATGAGTAAAAAGTTGAAGGACACATCAAAACTCAACAAAAAGTTCATATGTGCCTAACATCTCGAGAAGAAAAAGTAAGAGCTTCCCTGAGCTCTGTGTGGCGCCAACAGTTAAGCATCCTGATACAATCCAGGTGTTGGGATGCTTCTCCTACAGTACGGACCCAAGAGCACTGAAATGATTAAAGGCTGGGGTCAAAACATTCTGCAGCGGCAACTTTATCCAACGATCCAGGAAAAATTTGGCGGTGATTTATTTTCTGGCGGGATGGAGCATTTTGTCATGCCGAAAAAGTGTTTATGAAGAAGCTAAAACATCACAGCGCTGAGATTTTGGACCTATTCTCAGAAAAGTTTATATATTTTGAAATGCCAAAAGCAGGTGGAGATCTCTTCAAAAGAAATTCTTCACTTTTATTCAACATTTTGAAGCTGTAGGTACTTTTCTTGTCCGCAATTTTATTTTTACTAAAATGTTTTAGGTTTATGCTCTTCGCACCCTATATTGCGACTTTATTTTTTTTAAAATAAAGTCTAATTTATTCATGAGCTCCAAATGTTACCTGATAAAATAATTTGTATACCTCTGTATGTGTAACGGCAGCAAAAAGACATTGAAAATGAGTGAGCAAGCACATTTTAGAGCACAAAAGCTCTAAATCCAAAATGATTTAATCATCCTCCCCTTCTTTCTACCTGCCAGTAAGTCAGCTGAGTTGAAACTGAGTTTACCTGGGAGCTTGAGAAGGAGGGGCTGTTGGCTGGGGAGCCTTTAAAGCTCTGAGCTCCGCCTCTTTTCCATCCTGGACTCTGAGGGCCACCATAGTCCATCACATCGCTGACATGTTTCTGCTGTTTCCACCCTGATCAGGGGAATAAAGAGGCAGAGGAGGGAGGGAGGGAGCCAGACAGTAAAACAGATTATAATCTGACACGCAATCCGTTTGAGAATCAAACTCAGTCATGTGTTCTGTTGCTACACACATTTACACACACAAACAGTCTAGTTATGTTTTTAAAAAAGCATGACGTTAAACTAAATCGACACTTTGTTGTAAACACATGCCGACTTGGCAATAAAGGGCGATGACAGTAATTAGTGTTTGCCGTGTTTGCGTTCAACAAAAGCTTCTCTCCATGTGTTTTATCAGTGGAGGTACAGCTAGTGTGACTAATAGAGCCTGCACCATAAACAGATGGTGAAACATCGCAGTGTCTCGCCTGAAAAACATCTGCTATAACAATCTTTGTTTTTTTTTCTTTTCTTATTGATACAATAGTGTCCTCTGAGTTCAGATGTATGCTGAAGTCTGTTCTAAATATGCATGCTTCCAAGCTGAAATAAATTATTTTGAGAAACCAAATTGTAAATAGGCTGATTTCATTAACTAACACAGAAGAAATTCTGAGTCTTTGTCGTTCTCCAGTTCGAATAATAAAAGCATCAGTGACACTGTCAAAATACTGACACTAAATCTAGCAATCAAGAGGAAGGGAGCGAAGGGAGCGAAGTACAAGCAGTGCTCACAGGATTTCTAAAACGTAGTCGTTTGTGGATAAAAAGTTCTTTGAAGACCGCAGAGGCTGCTGGGTTTGTCGTTTTATTGATGTACCACTGATTTTCAGACACTTCAACCTGTTATGCTTGGCTTTAAAGTCTCTGCTGCTGATATTTAGAGGGTCAAAACCTGGGAATAGGCTAAAATTTTAAGGGCTCAATTTTAGCCACCCAAAACGTCTCATAAAAGAAAAGCTGGAAAGAGCCACTGCAACTAAGCCAGCTACTGTCCCTGCAGCGGGCCGGCCAAAAAAGCTTCCATGGACGTCTCAAGTATCACCTAATGTCCACCACATTTGTTACAGGACTGTAGTCTTTTCAGGAAGATGAGAGGGTGAAGGCATTATGTTAAAACTTCAAAAGCATTCCAGAATGCTTACAAGTTCCTCCTTCAAACCGTTCCCTGAAAACACTCACTATAATAATGAACCAAGACAAGTGTTAGTTACAGCTCAAAATGCGCCTGGGAGGAAATATCAGCTTCCAATACTTTGACACGTCAATCTGCTGATGTACAAACACTCAGACCCCGTTTCCGGCACATGAATTCTAGGTTGCAGCCAAGACTAATAAGTAAAGGATGAGCGGTAGATGTTGAAGGAAAGACACTAACAAGAGTTGTCTGAGTTGCTGAAAAGGACATTCCTGTTCGTCCCAGATAAACCAAATTCTCACTGCTCTGTTTCTCACTGTTTCTCAAGCAGATGGCATCACAGAGGTCACAGAATAAGATTTACTGTTCTTCCAGGCGCTGTCCCAGTGGATATGATGTAATGAATTCACCATACAGCATGTACCATCAGGTTGTGGAGAACCAGGCAAGGAGGGACAATATGGAGAATTAAAGGAGTTTCCAAAAAAGCATCATCAATGATTTGTTGAGTTTCTCTTGCTTTCTGAAATGCAGTACTTTTATATTCCGTCATATCTTTGCATTTTTGCTGGTACAAAAATATAAAATTTCAATTTTGAGCAATAACTTTTTGAAAAAGGTTGTTACAGCAGGCTAGCAGTCCTTGAACTTTAAGATTCAAGGATAAAATTACAAATTCACGCATTACATTTTTTTAGAATTTCTAAAATATTAATGATTTTTCCAGAATTAATTTACGGAAACTTTAATTAAAGCTTTCCACACACATTACATTGACATGCAGAGTTAACTGGAGCTAAATGGTGGCTCATCGATTTACTTGAATCTCAATCTTTGTTCCAGATCCAATCGCATTTTGGACTGCCTTGCAAAAAAACCAAGTATGTTAAATCAATATTTCGTAAAAATGCCCACATGGGGCATGGACTGTTGAAAGCATTACAGGAACAGAGGAAAGCTTCAGCATTCAATGTACAAATGGTTTCCAAGTGTCAGTCATTCCTACGCCCATGCTCAATTTAAACTGTTCCACTCTGAAATGAGACAATCCTTCAAGAAGCCAATTCACCATGAGATATTGCTCATTCCTTGTATGTAAACCGTCATGACGCCAAAATGCTCTCAGAGGTTATGTATACACACGTCACACCCGCAGGAAACATAAACACCTGTTATTTCTTCCCCTTATTAAGGAACAATAAATGAGATCAAGAAAATATCCAAAATAAACATTCAGTGCTATTTGTTTTTAGATTTTCCAGTTTAGCTTAGTTCTCAGGTGGTTTCTGTTTTTTTTTTTTTTTTTTGGTTTTTTTGTAGTTTAGTTTTTTTTTCTCCCCTGCATCACAGAAATCCCTCATCTCTTGGTGTGAACACACAAAACTTCAGGTTAGGGTTAATCTGCCTTCATCTGTGATTTGTACCCATAATCATTGTATCTTTTTTAGTCACTTGAACCCACTTCACGTTACGTGTGGTTGCATAATATAACCTCAGGGTCTGTATATTTCCAGTGACAACAAGGCAAGCGGTAGAGTAAACACATCATTGTGTGTCACATACGGAGAAGCTTTGGTTATCACTGCGTACACACCAGAGTCCTCCACTACCTGTTCGACTGAATTCTCCCAAACTTCAGCAAAACCCACATTTACAAACCTCTGTCCTACAACAAACATACATACTTCTGTCTTAAATGGAGATTTCCACCAATTGGTGGTGATTTGTACCTGGAAAAAAACCCCAGGAAAATAGAGCACATCACCCCAGATCTAAAGTCCTTACACTGGCTCACTGTAGCTCAGAGAATAAACTTTAAAATACTGTTGTTAGTTTACAAATCATTGAACGGCTTGGCACCACTGCACATTAAAGATCTGTTGTTGTTCTATCAACTTTCCAGAGCTCTGCATTCCCAAAACCAGAACCAAACACGGAGAAGCAGCATTCAGTTTTTCTTCAGAAAACTGCAAGAAACACTGAGTTCCTTTAAATCAAGAATAAAAAGTCACCTGTTTAGAACTGATTTTGAACCATAATAAATGAAACATTGATCAACATATTTGTCTGATTTTGGTGATGGCACTCATCAAATATAATGTTTGTTCAATTGTTAACTGTATGGTATATTCTTTAAAACTTTCTAATTGTGTGTTTTTGTTATTTAAAGTACTTTCAACCGCCTTGCTGCTGAAATGTGCTATACAAACAAATAGTTTGAATCAGCAAAACGAAACCATGAAATTCAGTCTTAAGATCTTCATTCACCTGAACATGCTGGAAATTGTGTACTTTAGAAAGTGAGGCAGCATAAGTGTTTTCAGCATAATGGCCAATTCTTTTAAAAAATATTCTAGATAACATCTGGGATTGATCTTCTTTGCAGTGCCACTACAGTTTAACAGTAATAAATTGTACTTGTCTTATCACACTTTTTCTCAGTCTGGTAATGCTTGATGTGATATTTATTTTAAATAGGCGTAGGTGGAGCCTTATTTTTACAAGCAGAATTGTCGCAATTGGGCTTTATTTAAAAGTAATTTATGGTTTTTCCATAGTTTCACTGTCTGCATAGCAAATCTTGACACAATGCTTGCCATGTTTTTGTGCAATTGTCAGCTCAAATTTGGACTCTAAGGAACCTAGAGAACCTTCAAGGATTGACACAAGTGACAAGTGACATATTTCTGACAGACAGGCAGACATTGAAAACCATAAAAAATCTTTAAAGCTTCTCATCGTAAGAAGAGTTTCTGTCTCCTAAAGTTTGGCCTTTTAAACATTTAAAGGGAAAGTATGTCTTAAACCTAGGCAACACTTTAAGTTTGAAAATATATTAATAAAGTTTGTGTTTCCATCATCTTTAAAACCAAATAATTTAATTTCAAAATATACTTTTTTTTGCCACACCAAGAGTGTTTTGAAGCCACAACTGTAAAACAAGGAGTTTGAAACTTAACTGAAATAAAAAAATTCTCACGAGAATTTAACAAATGCAAATGGACTGTTGACCACAAAGAGAGCGACAAAGGGAGCACTTTTCATTTCTCCAATAATCCTGTAATGCAAGAAATATGTACAGGAATTTGACAGATTTATTGTCGCCTGAAAAAAAAAAACCCGTCTCGGTTCAATAACAGCTGCAAGGCTATCAGAGATAGCTTTAATGGACTCAGTCAGACCATTGAGGAAACGCTGGTATTCCTGTCACTAGTGCATACAGTTGAAAATATACACTATATAAAAAGACACATATGCATTTTTTTATTCTGTGAAATCAGAATAAACTCTTCCTGTTTTAGATCAGTTAGGATTTCCAGATTTGCTAAATGCCAGACTAATGAGAGCATTTTGAAGGCATTTTTTTTATTACTTTCAAAGTCAAGTTTAAATACACTAAAATTACTCTGTATTTAAACAATCTGGGACTTTTAATATCATCTCTTTGGAAACTCCTGAAAGAAATTTGGTTGTGCTTTATTTTGTGCACAATGACAATAAAAAGAATTTTGGAGTTGTAGCACACACTCCTGCTGTGAAGTTTGTTGATATACTTTATTGATGGGAAGTTAAATGTTGTTGTAACTCATTAATTGGAAGTCTTAGTATTTTTTAATTGAATTTCAAAGATCACTTCTGGTTTCAACTATACGTACCTGTTGATGATGTAGGAAGATGCATTCCTTAAACATGCAGCGCATATGATATTATCATATGCAATATGGTTGCATATGATAGCATGGAGTCATATTTTGCATGTTAAAATATGATTGCATATTCTAGCATGTAATCATATTGTACTGTAACATATACGATATGATTGCATGCTAAAATGGGCAGCAGTGTGATTTTATTGGACATATCAACAAATTTCACCGCATGAGTGCTACAACTCTGTGTACATATCTGGCAGATTTAGATTTTAAAAAATAGTTTAATCCAACCAAGATGTTTGTGTAAAACTGAGACAAACATCTCTGAAAAGATAAAAAATGTAAGAGCAGGATCATTAAAAAAATATGTTTTACATATTAAAAATTGCATAAAAAAATTATTCATTTCACAATAATCACTAAAAAGTCCCTTTTTAGTTGCCAAGCAGTTTTTTGCAGGTTTCCACTAGTATTTTAAAAATGTATTGATGATTCCAAGTCTTTGATGTTAGAATACTTTCTCGTCACTGCTTTAATCTGTAGCTCTCTTCACAGATTCCCTATCAGAATGAAGCCAGTGTTTAAATTACTATTATTATCTGATTATAATTAAACAATGTGGAGATGCTCACAAGATGTAGTTTAAAAGTGTATAATTTAAAAAAATTATGCTGACATTTTGTTGTGTACCATGTACTGACAAAAACATAATGTGACGCACTATACAAGAGTGGTATAACAAAAGCAACAGACATACTTTGTAGACATGACAAAGCTTGATCTTTCTCAAAATGTGCTGAATAACTTCATATTTAGATTCACACTAACACGCACAGCAAGATATAAAAAAAACAACAAAAAAAACGAAGTAGTAGGGCTACACCTCTTCAGACTGAAAAGCATGAATAATGTTAACCACTCATAATTATAAAATATACTAAAATTGTGAGATTTTCAGATACAATTACAACAGCTGCACTGCAAATATGAAGTATAATATTTGTATAATGACATACAGCAGGAGTGGCAAGAACTGGAGGAGAAATTTAAATGCTCCATGCAGCTACTCTTTTTAAAACTGATTTTTTATTCTTTTTTTTTAATATAGACCATGGTCTCTGAAACATTTTTGTCACTTCCTTCAACTCTCTGAGCAAATAATCACAGAAATCATCATGGTATGAACTAATTTTCAAGCTAGTGACTTATGCTTATTTCACACTTTTTTGTAGGCCTTTTCTGAATTTTGGACATGGAAATGGTAAGCTGCAAGTCCAAACACAATAGAACAAGAAACTTTTCAATAAAAGATGTTCTTTATATTTCATTAGCAGTTGGGCTGGACAATAAATCAATAACAATGTATATATTGTGACAGACACACAGTCAGTGTGAATAAATAATACATCTGATATAAAATTGAATTTTCAATATATAAAATATTCATTGAACTCCAATTAAGAACGTATCCAAAGATGAAGAGAGAGGAAAAGCTTCAGCTGTTCTCACTCCCAGCGCAGAAAGGTTGGTGGCATCAACTAACTCACTCACTCGACCTTTTAAGTAACTTGGGCATCAGCAGTTTCATGTTTCATCACTGTTTGCCTCATAACTGCTTTAAGATAGACAATGACACGAGGAAAAACTGTGGTCAATGAAGGAAATGTCACACACCACCAATTTGGCGGCATTTCAGATTCGTAAATCAAAAAAACAATCGGTAATTATCGATTTTGACTGATGCAAACTGTTTATTGTGATACGTTTTTTCTGCCCGAACTGGCAGATAACCCTTCTGCAAAACTATAACATGACGCTTCTGTGATTTTTCATGGGTGTTGGTAGGACAGATATTTTCTAACAGCTCTCATACATTTTACATCAAGCATTTTGTTTAATGTTACCTGACTGATGGGTTTGTCCTTTGTGGCTTAGGCCGTTGGTGTGCAGAGAGGCCGAGCGGGACAGAGGAGAACATCTAGTGGGAACCGGAACAAAAGTGGGGTCTAAGTCCAGAATCAGCTTGTTCAGCTGCTCAATGGACTCGTCGATGTCTGTATTTAAGGAGGCCAGTTCATCTTCTTGACAGGATGAAGTTGTATTTTCAGGCTGTCTGTTGTCCTGGTCTAACAAGCCTCTCTTCACTGCTTCCCTGCTGCTTAATCCTCGTGTTGGTGTATCAGGAAGCTCCAGAGGTGCTGGTCTCTCTTTCTTCGACCAGCTGGCTCCCTGCTCAGGGATGGGATCCACCATCTGCTGCTGTCGAACCCAGGAGTGAGTGGAGTACTCTGTTTGGGCTTGTCTCTGAGTTGCAGGTACTTTTTCAGAAGGAAGTGAGAAAACGCTGCTCGAGTCTGGAGCCTGTGAAGGAGAACCTTCGTCCTCGTCATCAAGAATATCCGTCTCCCTCTCGCTTGATGAAACGTCGCCATTGATGGTGGCTCCCAGTCCGGACTCATCTCCAGTCACCTTTCCATCACCAGCACCAGAAGAACCCAGTTCAGTCATGACCTCCAGAAGAGCCTGGATTGGGTCTGACTCAGCCCCAAAACTCAGCTTCTCAGCCTGGCTACAGGTGTCCTGCGTGGCTCCTCTTCTTTGTCCGACTCCGGTCCGCCCCTGTGAGGCAACGGAGAGGCCCGAGTCACTGCTGGCTGACGGCGCTCTGTCGCTGCAGCTCGGGCTGATAGGCGGCAGAGGGTACAGAGCTCCTTCCTCAGTGCTCTTCTTCCTCACTTTGGAGTATAAATCTCTATTTCCAGATTCAGACACATGGGGAGGGCCTGGAAGGAGACAGAAATCACTCTGGTCAATTTAAAAAAATAGAGAATCACCACTTTTGGAAGATTCTTTTGCCGTTTTTACTAAACTTAAACCAGACGACAGGCAGCATTTGAGATAAAACACGGACACTCTGGCTTTGCAAACATCTCAAAAACATGAGTAAAATATTTTTCCCAGATCAGGCAGAGATAAAATTAATGTGATGACAAGATGAAAAACCCTATAATCAGTACTTTGTTGCGATTCTTCTAGTTTTTCTCTCAACTTTAATACTTTGAAGACTTTGCTTCATCATCAAGACTTCATCACCAGCAAACTTGCTGTGAATTAATGTAATTCCTTCAAAATAATGACTGAGATTGATGTATCTCTGTTACCCAACATGCAGTCCCACATCAACAAATGCTCTAGCATCATGTCCTCCATACACTTTTCTCTCAGTCTTGCTTTTTTGTGCTTATGTGTTAATCATGTTTTTTTTTTTGTCATTTCTTTTCCGATCATGAAAATAACAATAGTAATAAATTTTATTTGTACTACCCTTTACATTATCAAAATCTCAAAATGTTAACAGAAATGACTTAAAAACAACAATTTAAACAAAAAAACAGCTAAAATATTAAGCATCTTTTGAAGGGGTGAGAAGTTCTTTGAGTTAAGGAAGTTAATTTCCATTCATGTGTTGATGAGTGAAGAGGGGGATTTTGTAAGTTATCCCACTGCATTGTGGGATGGGAAGATAGTGAAAAGAATAAAGAATAAGTGTAATGTGTTCATATTTTTGCGCTCTCGTCAGGATCCTAGCTGGAGCCTCTGGAGCCTCCTGGAAGATATCCCAAGGTAAAGGTAAAGGTAATTTTATTTATATAGCACATTTTTAGCAATAAGGCAATACAAAGTGCAAGGAGTACAACTTTACATCAATCCGGTCTGGAGGAGACAATGGCATAGATCCGTTTTCCCGAATCTGGTGGAGTGAGAGAGGATCAAAGTCTGGTAATGTTAAAAAGTTAATGGAAGTAGATCTTTCTGGTCTACATGACATTCAAAGGTGAGGTGGGAGCTCATTTTAACTCTGAGGTTTGTAACTGACGGGGAAAAGAGGATGTTGTGACTAGAAGAAGTGATGCCGATCACAGTAGATGACTGGATCTGGCAGGGAATGATCAACATTACTTATGTTTTGATGTTTTGATGATGATGATGAAGATAAAATGCAGAAATTACTATGTGTTATCTGTGCTGATGTTTTGTTTTCTCAGATCTGTCTGGATTTCTCTGGAACATTTTATTTGTATTTGCTTTGAGCTGAAAAAATAGCGAATGTATTTTTTTTTAAATATTCTGTGTTGATTTATTGTTTAGACAATTTTCATAATCTCTTTGATTGCTTCCACTGACAGCTCTCCCTTTGGGTGAATGTTTCACTGTTTTCCTTTCTAAAATTATTGCTTACTAAGTAATTTGTTCTTCTTTATTTTTCCCAGGTTCGCTTGTAAACTGTTTCTCATGACAATAATCTATAGCTCTGAGATTTAATGGTAAAAAACATACATTTAAATAGGAAAAAAAAACAACACACTAGCAATCTGCTGTAATTATGTTTTCTGATTGTTGTTTACTGACTCTTGCAATTTGTCTCTGAATCACTTAAATTCTACTGGAAAACTCCAATTTACAGTCAAAACTGATTGCATACAGTGGAGTGTGCACCTGCATCACCACAGCCCATGAGTCAGGACTTCAGACACACTTGGCGTAGAAAACACAATAATCTTTTTGTGGAGGCTGACAGGACCATGCGTGAGTCTGCATGTCACCAGGAAAAGGACGTGTTCATCACAGTTGTCTACCTGGGGTCAGACAAAAGTGAGTGTGTTGACTCACATATAGTTTGAATAGCAAGAGATCTGATTAACAGCTCTTCTAGCTAGTAGGACCAAATTGGTCCTGGTCTCACTGAAAAATCAAACCAGCATCTCCACAAAACTTGTCAGCAGAATGTGAAGCGTTCCAAAACTGAGTGGTAGACGACTGATTTGGTTGCCCTCCTCTCTTCCTTCAGAATCTGGAACATTGGTTCCAAATGTAATGCACAATTTACTTTTAATTGAGTAGAAGACTTTGGAACTATTTTTCTTTCAAAATAAGTAACTGCTCAC